TGTGGCCATATCCAAGCCTGGAAAAGGCTATGGAAGTAAATTCACACAGAAAACCTGATGTGGTGCACTGACGGTTGATTGTCAACACTGATAACTTTCCAGCAACTCTTGGAGCCAAGCCAGCCCCCAAATGTAATGTGCTGTGTTCCTTCAGATCTTGTCAGTAAGCTGAGAGGGAGGGGGCCATATAATCTGCACAGCAGAAGCCTGTGTTCTGGAAAGGACATTCCATTCCCACCACCAAAGGGACTGAATTTTATCCAAACAGGGCACTATCTTTTATCTCAAGTTAAACAGATACCTACTACTATTAAAACTATTATGATAATAATGATAGAACAGTGATAAAAGACTTTTGTTGAATTCACACAGTTATTTGTATTATGTATATGTATTTTATGAAATACATCTCACTACTCTTTTGTATTTGAGCGAGTTTTATCTCTCACATTCTGTTTGTATGTAACAGTCTATTTTTTCTATTAATCTTTGTTTTTTATATGCCAATTTCAGTCCCTCCTACATATTTGTTTGTGTGCCTATATATATATATATATATATGAAAAAGTAGTTGAATTATTTAGAGTAACTTTATCAGTTTCACAGTTCTGATTTTCAAATGGTAAAATGAGATAGACATGTGGCTATATCATGGTAAGTCTTGTATGTATATATATATATATATATATATATATATATGTTAATCTATGTGAGCTATCTCCCCTGAAAACTCTCCCTGCCGGAAAAAGGACTTCCGGTCGGAAGTCAGGGCGGCCATATTTGTTTATACTGTGTAGTGAGTGAGGAGTCGAATAAAATATTCTCTCCATTATCCGTTGTCAAGTCCGTCATTCACATGTTTATATTTTCTTTATGCACCTTGACAGTCCTTTATTTTTTATACTAACATTGGTAGCAGAGCGTAGTTATGGCTTCAAAGCACATTTCACCGCCCGTCTTAGTTAAAGACAAGTACAGCACGTGGAAAAAAGAAATGCAAATCTGGGAAATGGCCACGTCCTTGACAAAACAAAACGCGTCCCCATAGTATTTCTTTCACTGGAAGGAAAACCCAGAGAAGCTGTATTGGAATTGGATGTTGCGGCACTTAATTCTGAGGATGGAATGGCTAAACTGTATGAAAAATTGGACACGCTTTTTTGGAAGATATAAACCAGTCAGCCTTTCTGGCCTACGAGACTTTCGAAGGATACCGGAGACAGCCTGAAACATCAGTGGAAGACTTTCTCATCAACTTCGGCCGACACGTTGCTAAGTTGAAAGATTTCAACATCATCCTGCCTGAACGGTACTTGCATTCAGGGCATTAAAAGTGCTTCCCTCAACCCTGAAAATGAAAGACTAGTCAAGGCGACTGTCGGCGAACTGACACTCTCTTCCATGTCGGCACAATTAAAGAAGATTATGCATAGACAGCCGTCTGAAGCTTCATCTATGAACTCTACACCCGTAGTGGTCAAGAAGGAAGATGTTATTGCCTTTACTGAAATAAAAACGAACCTAGCGAGGTATACTATGGTCGCTCTTCCCACCACCATGATTCGCATTTTAATAGTCGGCGAGGAAAAAACATACCGCGGTGGAAAACGACATAGCAACAACAACAACAAAACACGCTCCACTGACAAAAAACAAAATAAACCCGCTAGGACCCGAAGGCAACCCCACTGTGTGCTTTAAATGTGGCTGCAAATTTCACTGGTCTTACGACTGCCCTTATGTCGACGATACCGGGACAAACATGGGGACGACGAACACGAAAGTTATCTGTATCTGGCTAACATTGTGCTGATGAGTCAGCAAAAACGCGAGGCAAATGGCAACACGCTTTTGGGTGAGACACTTGGTTCCGCTGTCCTAGATAGTGGTGCATCTGGCACCGTTTGTTGAAAAAATGGTATGAATGTTTTCTCGAAACATTAACTGATGCACAGAAAAAAAAAATAATTATGAGGAAAGGAGTGAGAACTTTTAAGTTCGGGGATGGAAACAAGCTGGACTCTCTCTACAATGTGACTCTACCATGTGTCATCGCAGACATTGACGTCAATATTGTTACCGATGTTGTGGATTCTGACATTCCACTTCTCTTAAGCAAAGATGCAATGAAAAGAGCTGGAACCTGTCTCAATTTTGAACATGACAGTGTGACGATGTTTAAAAAGAAAATTCCATTGAGATTGTTGCCAGTAACCTCAATGCCATGCATGCAGCTAGAAAACAATTTATTATGTGTGAGTCTTCGGAAAAATTAAGACGTGCACTTCGTCATCAAGTTAGGACTAGTACAACACAATCCTACAAAAATGGTGATGTTGTTTTCTATAAGAGAAATTTCTGTGATAGATGGCTAGGTCCAGGAACTGTCATAGGGTGGGAGCACAAGCAGGTACTTGTTAAACATGGGGCACATATGTAAGAGTGCACCATGTCGCCCTGTGTCTCACCCAGAAACATATCAAAGTTCCTCTGAAAGTGAGGCTATAAGTGAATCCACCACTTCACAAAGTGAGCCTGAAGGATCTTCAAACTTATCAATGTCTGACGAAAAACGATGTTGCTGAAGAACCAGGAACTCTGAATGATCATGTTGCACAACATCAGACTGTGAGAGAGGCACACGTACTACCAAAGCAAAATCCAATTCACAAAACAATTACGCTTCCCAAGCCAGGACAATCCATTAAATGCAAACTTGCCAATGATGATGATTCGGAATGGCGAACATTGAACGTCATAAGTAGGGCAGGCAAAGCTACAGGTAAAAACAAGCATTTAATGAATGTGGCTATGGAACAAGGTGAACCCTTCTGGCTAGACTTCAATCATGGAGTATTGGAATGGAAAGAAAATGAAGCCAGACCAATAAATAAGGATGAAGCTACCTCTAGTGATGAGGAAAACATTATTATTTCTTCTTCTAATCATGACCTGGAAATGGCAAGAGAAAACAAACTCCAAAGCTGGGTTGAAAATAAAGTTTACACCCAAGTGCCTGACCAAGGCCAATGCAAAATATCCACAAGATGGGTTTATACTAATAAAAATGTCAATGGCAAACAGATCTATAAAGCTAGACTTGTGGCGAGAGGCTTTCAGGAAAGGGATGCAGGCAATATAAGAAATGATTCTCCAACATGCTCTAAAGAAAGTCTACGTATAGCCTTGGCTATAATGGCATCTAACCATTGGGTGTGCAAGTCAATGGACATAAAAACAGCATTTTTACAGAGCAAAGAGTTGGACCGATTGATCTATTTGCATCCTCCCAAAGAAGCCAAGGTACCTCCAGGATATATTTGGAAACTCTCCAAATGTGTATATGGTTTGACTGATGCATCAAGGTCCTGGTACCTGACACTCAAAGAGGAATTGTTGAAGTCAGGAGCAGTGGTTTCAAAAATATGATCAAGCCATATTTACATGGAACTTTGGAAACAAACTGCATGGTATTATAGCTACTCATGTTGATGATTTTTTGCTTTTGCAGGCTCGGAGATTTTTCAGAGCAGAGTCATGGACAGGATTCGTCACTTGTTTAGGATCAAATCTGAGGAAGTTGCTGAGTTCAGTATATAGGATTAAGCATAAAGAAAACTGGGAATGATGTTAAACTTGGACAGGACGAATATGTCAAAAAGCTAAAGGTGTATCCCACTAGAACCAGGCAGAAATTTGAAAGATGCAATATCTTCAACAGAGGTTACTGAAACCAGGCAACTGATCGGACAACTTAATTGGTTAGCCACCCAAACTAGACCCGATCTTAGTTATGATGTCAGTGAGTTAAGCTCGATACTAAAACAAGAAAATGTAGAATGTTTAAAACAGGCTAACAGGGTGGTAAAAAAAAAGCAAAAAAAGGAGAAATCTCATATAGATATTATTCAGACTTAGGGAACCTTGAGCACCTAAAATTGTTGCATACAGTGATGCTTCTTTTGGCAATTTAACAGATGGAGGTTCACGGGGAGGCTATATACTTTTTTTAGTTGGAAGCAATGACAAGTATATGCCCATTGCCTGGCAGTCTAAGCGTATTAGAAGAGTTGTCAAAAGTACTTTAGCTGCTGAAACTTTAGCCATGGTTGACATGGCAGAAGCCTGTATTTTTTATCGAAACTTTTGTTAGAAATACTACAATTGAACGATGATACTAACAACATTAAAATCTTCTGCAAAAACAGACAATTCCTGTCTCTATGATTCTGTACATTCCTCAACCCAAATTTTGGATAAGAGACTTCGCATAGAGATGGCTATTTTGAGAGAAATGATTGACAGAAAGGAAATTGCAGAGATCTCTTGGATATCAACTGATGTACAAATTGCTGACTCCTTGACAAAAAAAGGAGTGCCATCATTCAAGATCCTTGGGTTCATATCCGAACCAAAGGAATCATCTGTATAATGTAAATACCCGGCCCCTTTTTTTCTTTTGCAGATTAGATGATTCCAAACTGAAAAGAAGAGAAAAGAGGGGAAGAACTGTTAATCTATGTGAGCTATCTCCCCTGAAAACTCTCCCTGCCGGAAAAAGGACTTCCGGTCGGAAGTCGGGGCGGCGGCCATATTTGTTTATACTGTGTAGTGAGTGAGGAGTCGAATAAAATATTCTCTCCGTATCCGTTGTCGAAGTCCGTCATTCACATGTTTATATTTTTCTTTATGCACCTTGACAGTCCTTTATTTTTATACTAACAATATATATATATATACACAAACTATTTTAGGCTGTTTGTATACTGCACAAAAAGCCACACCAATTCTTATAATTGACTTTATCGGCAATCTTTCACCTGATAACATTTTGTTTCTCTAAACTCTAGACATTAAATAATGAGTTCAACACATCCTCTAAAATATTCACATACCAGAAAATATCAACTTTGGTAACCTTTTACTTTAACAGACTGAATACTTTCAGTTTCATCAGTGTCTGTGTTTTTAATACATTTTTCCCTCTTTTTGCTTTCCAGATTCTTTTCACTCCTGGCATTGTTGATTTTGTCTATGTCGATTACTTCCATGTTCTACCTGTTGGTGGTATGACAAGAAACATAATCAAGTGTGTAGGAAACTCAGTAGGTAAGATTTTAAAAAAGACAAAAATGTATACATCTATGCAATTAACTCTTGTTCATTTTATTTTCTGCTACAGTTCCTCTTTGCCTATGGAATTTTCTTATATTCCCTTGACAAATCTAATAAATTAGAAAACTGCAAAGGGAAAACTTTTGTTATTCCCTTTGTTGAAGAAAACTGTTTGCATTGTGGTACCAAAAAATAAGTTGAGAGAGTGGTGGGGGGATCTGTACAAAAGATCATTTGCAGTTTGCAATCTCTTTTGGAAAGAAGGAAACAACAAAAAGAGCAACAGGCATATATCACTGTATATAAATGAATAGCAAAGACAGTGCTTACATAAATCCAGTAAATCTAAAAATGTCATCATTTTCTTTAGTTCCCTGAAACCCCAAAACATGGAAACTGCAAGATCTTTTTTTTATTTATTATACATGTTAACTCATTGCAGTATTTCACTAGAACTATATTTTATATCAAGTGTACTCTTGTTTACAAGGTTTTTTTTCCAGAAAGGAAACCAATTTTAGTAAATAGCAGGATTGGTTTTATTCAAAATGTGAGTTGTCTGGGCTTAATGACCTTTAATCTGTTATGTACTGAGTAATTTGGAACCATTTTTTAAATTAATCTTATCCAAGAAAAACATTTACATTTATCTGAGTATTTAAATATATAAACCAAAATAATGGATAATAAGCCTGTTGAATATAAATGACCAATTGACTTTACATGTCAAAGTTTTTAGTTACAACATTTTAATTTTTCGAATTCTGGTCTTTTCTTTGTACAAGAAAGCATCCAAGATGGGTGCTTAAATATTATAAGACAGATATGAAGATAAATTATACTACACAAAAATAAAAATATTAGAAAATTTGATGGCATGTCTTGATTTTATATGGAAACAAATTCTTTTGTTTTGTGTGTCAGTCTGTTGCAGTAATTATTATCATTTTGCTCTCTTCAAATTCAATGTTTTGGTTTTTAAATGTTTTTTCATTAAAACAACTGCTCTTCAGTGAATATACGGGATTTTGACCTTTACTAAAAAGTTCAGCACATATCAGACTATTTGGCAGATTGCAGCATATACATGTATGTTTTTTGCTTTCTAACACACTGAGGAAATAGACACATGCAATATTGAGAGTAATATTCATTGTTAAGAAAAATCATGAATGCACAATGCATATAATTTTTGTATAAAGTAAAATTATTCAAATGAAGGGTGATACTCTTCAGGTATTACTTTAAGTTTCATAAAAATCTAAAAACTAAACAACATTGTTTATTTCCTGTTTTTGCTCAAACTTAAAATCGTAAGATTTCATGTCTGTTATTTTTGCCAGGGTCAGTTTTTTTAGCAATGAGCAAAATTGATAAATGTCAAAAGTGCTGCACAAATGTTTACATAAAAGATTTTGCATTTTTTTTTTTTCTTAACATGCTTCCATCTGGGAATATTTTAACTACTACAATTCAATACAATGGCAAGGAAAAGAGAAGTTATCTGGAATTAGCTTGTTATTATCAATAAATTCACTATTCTTAAATAGTGAAATGTTGTGTCTCTTCTAATAGGAATTGTTTCCATTAACCCAGTCTTAATGATAGCCAATTTTTATTTTTCTCCAATCAATTTTTAATTACCATTTTCCCTAATAGAAACACGAATGTCCATGTCCAAAATAAAATACTGACACCAGTAAAACTGCTGCATGCATTTTTCATTCAATTATCTTAAACCATCTTTTTCATGTTCACTACTTTGTTTTTTGGGAGGTTTCTATTTTTTGTCAGAATTTTGGTAATTGTTTGTTTCTGAAAGAATTTTAAAAGTGAAATTAGTCATTTTGGGAAATGTCATGAAATTTGTTGGTTTCTGTTGACAGAATTTAATTTTATTTCATTTATCAAGTGCAGTTTGAATTAAGGCTTTTTTGTTTGTTTTTTGTCCTTCTTGACTTGGTTTGTAAATGCAATAAATGTTTAAAATATGTCTGTCAATTTCAATTTTCCATGTCATTTATGTTATACACTGAGCCCCACAGAGCAAAATAAAATATAGTGCAAATTAATGAAGTGATTAATTGATTAGTAGTTTTTGTTGAAAGTGAACCAGAGGAGCCTAACTATTCTTAGCCAGGAAGATTGTATTTGTAACTTATTCAAAACAATGTGACAATTGTAATCAAAATAATATTTCTACTGTTTGCAAGTAAAATGCAGTGTGAAGTGAGCAAATAGTTTAGAAAAAGTCTGAAACAGTATCTACAAGAAAATTGTATATTTTTAATAAGATAACATGCTTAAGATAATCTGTAACTCCACTTGTCAATCCTGGTAAACGCTAACCAATAATGTCAGTCCACAAGTTGATTTTCATCAACGGCCACCAATAATGTGCTGCATATGTCCTGCATTGATCTTAAAGTTCAGTCAGACGACTGTGGTTACCATCTAGCTAATTCCTCACTTGTTAACGTATAGTTTGTTTGTCGCTGGTATTGTGATAGTAGGCATAGTTCCACTTAGATGACGTTTGTCTGTTCATGACTATTCACTCCTCTGCCACATTGTGTTTTTGATCTCAGAGGGTGAGAAGATCGCTTGTGAAGCAAACTGAAGTGAAGGCAGTTTGACAGCTGGGAGCTACACTAAAAAGAATATTTTGGAATAAAGAATTAACTCTGGTTAAAGATGTAACAGTGATTTAGTTTATATATGATTTGTTGCATACAATGGTTTCAACCTTTCCCACTTATTGACACTGGGACTCCCCTTGGAGTCTGCAGCTTGTTTTAGTAGTTTAACTTTCTAAGTTCTGGTCTTCAGGGCTGGCATAAGGTCAGGAGGTCTCAGTGAATGATATGGATTCCAGTAGCAGTAATGTGGGGAATCTCTAAATTGTCCAAACATCCAGCTTATATGGTGTCCTGCATCTGACAGGAGATGTGGTTGACTAGGGTCTGGGTTCAGCTGTCTTTTTCCTTTAGCATCAACCTTTTTCTAAAATTCAATATTCTCAAATTATATTTACTAAAGTGGTTTTCCAAAATTAGGGTTGTCCAGCCTCCTTTTGAGAGTGGTCAAAGGAATGAAGCCACCCCTTAACTCCAACCCCTTTCATGTCCCATCTCACACCATTGCTGCATATAGATTGTGCTAATCACTCTCTTCCTTTTGCCACTTTCTCAGCAGCTAACCTCAGCCAGCTCCTAGGGCTGGTGTGATGAATCCAACTTCCAGATGGTGTAGTGAAAACAAAAGGGATTTTTTAGTCATTAATCAGCTTGTCCCATGCTGTGATTTCTTGATTGGCCAGGCCACTCAAGAATTGGGAAAGAAAATTACTCCCAATCTCTCTAGTGACAAAAACAAAAGTTTATCTTTCTTTTGTTTATGAATTTTTATGATCAATAGACCACTCTTTTTGTCTATTTATTATTATATTAGATAATAAATTGTTGCTTTGTCATACATTTACTAATAATTATAATAATATTAAATTTTACTTAAGTGTATGATCAGTGTGTGTTTAACTATATATGGTAACAAAAAGAAATGTATTTTTAACTGAAGAAGGAAACAATGAGAAGTTTAAATCTGCATGCAAATAGGATTTACCTTGACCTGATATAAGTTGCTGATACAAAACCCACAAATTCCCTAAGTTCTTAGCCACTGTTAAATTTAAATCATCTGTAAAGATAACTCTTAAATATATTGCTTTTATGTGAAAACATTTATAATACAGTAAAAATGCACTTACTTTCCCAGAAACCAATCCTTTCTGAGTGTTTGAAAATTGTCTTTATATAAGCCAACAAAATCTCATTGTGTATCAGCTTTGAATTAACATCCAATAAAGGATCATAATGGAGCTAGGTAATTGTGTTTGGAGATAGGATTGGCCAAAAATGATTGATGCTGATTATCTGCTTGTACTTCTAATAAACAGATTGACATGAATAATATATACACTGTTGGTCAAAATCTTAAGGCCAATGAAAAAGAAAATATGCATTTTGCATTATTATTTGAGTAGAGCCTCAAAAAAGGAAAATTAAAAACGTTTTTAGCATTTAATAGCAAAATTTGAATACTGTGAAATTAGGTCAAATACTAGCTGGTAAGAAGTTTTTATTTAAATGAAGCTTTAATTGGTAAACACATAACAAGATCTAGTCATTTGTGTTCAAGCATTAGTGCAGTCAACATCTCCCACTGGTATCTACTGCTTTACATTAGGTAAAAACATACCAAAGACTAAAAAGTTGAGAGAATTTGAACATGGCAGAATTGTTAAATTGAAAATGCAAGGTCTGTCTAAACATGCCAGAACTGGCAAGATTGGATGTAGTAAAAATGCTGTTGCAAATTTCTTAAAAGACCCTGAAGGATGTAGAATGAGAATCTCAAGGGGTTAACATGAGAAAATTTTGGTGGTGTTGAGCAGGAGGATATGATGGGTTGTCCTGTGAGACACCAACTAATCATCAAACTAGATTAAGGTCCTTACGAATACCTTATTATTAAGGCCCTTATGAACAATAAAAGAGTAATTCTGAGAGAAAGGCTTTAAAAACCATAAATGTCTTCAAAGTTCACAACTACTTCCACCACAAAACAGTTTGGTTAAACTTTACTGAGAAGCATCAAAAATGAGACCTAGGAAAGTGGAAGATGATTTTGTTCTCTGACGAGAAAAAAAAACTTTAATCTGGATGGTTGAGATGGCTTCCAACATTACTGGCACAATAAGGAAATCCCACTGGAAACATTTTCTACATATGACAGAATGGAAGAGATATTTCATAATGATCTGGAACAATGGAGCTTCAAGTTATATGGGGACATCAAACTGCAGCTGGTTACAGTGGCATGTTGGAAAGAGCATCCTTATTGACTGGAGGCCCTTGCTTGTGTGGCAATGACTCAAACTTTCACCAAGACAACACTACAATCCATAATGACTGCAGGACAAAGGACATTTTAAT